AATTAAGGGATTCTAGCCTTAGTATATGAAGAGCTTTTGTAATTAATAAGAGAAAAATAAAGACGCCAACAGAAAAATGGGCAAAGGACACAGACAAATATGAAAACACACACATGCAAAGATGAAAACAGGAGAAAAAGAAATAGAGAATAATTACCACTAAAAGCATTAAGAAATGTAAATTAAAATGAGATACAATTTATTGCCTACCAAACAGGTGGAAAAGTTTTATTTATGGTAACATCCAGGCCGGCCAAGAGCAAAAGCAACAGGTTCTCATCGACTGTTGGCTGATGAGCAGGTAGGCGGGCAAGGTGAGAGCAGACACCCAGAGATGTGGGCAAGAGTTGGTCCCACGATAAACAGCACTTTACTCAGGGTAAAACATCATTAATAACCTGAATTATCAACAATAGGGAGTAACTTACAATGGATGATGTAATGAAATATTAGCATGCAGTAAAGTGATCCTTTAAAAGAACTCTGGTGATAGAAAAATGGTTAAGGCACTTTAAAATTAAGTCACAAGATAGTAGGGACAAAATGACCCTAACAGGCTAAAAGCTTTTTATGAATAGAAAATAAAACGGCACATTGAAAAATCTAAAAACGAACATTCTTTGTAGTTGGGATTTTGGATGACTTTTATGATCATTAACAAAAAAAGATCTCAGCAAATACAACATCCCCCTCTTCAGTGGGGCATTATTAGGGACACGTGAGCCATTTGGGAAATGTTGAAACTTTGTAGCAGCTCTGGTAAAAGGCTAGGGAGCTCTGGGGTGCAGTGGTTATAGTGCTCAGTAGCTAAGCGAGAGGTCAGTGGTGCGCACCTCCCAGCCACCCTTGAGAGAGAGGAGGCAGTCTGCCTCTGCAGAGACAAACACCACTGGAATCCCCAACGGGGCAGTTCTCCTCTGTCCTGTGGGGTCACTAGGAGTCAGACCTGACTCGAGGGCAGTGGGGTTGGTCTGGGGTTTGCTGAAAGGCTTGGTAGGACAACAGCTAAAGCAGGTGACTCCACTGCTTTTACTGATGATGTGAGATTTCAGTTTCCTATTTTGTTTTTCTCTGCCTAGTTTTTAGGAATGAAAGATAGCTGTATGAATTGGCAAGGAGATCTCGGACAGGAGAGACAGTCAAGTGACAATCTATTTCTTTCCTTCATTATTCCTCCTGGAAACAGGCAGGAAGAGAAAAGGTCTGGCTTCCTGTGGGCTGCGAACCATGGTGGAGGCCTGCTGAAGGATGTGGCCCTGGCCCGAGAGCTGGTCCATCCTGTACAGATCCTGCCTTCTGTCTGATTCCAAGGCAGACCTTCTGGTCCTGGAGGTCACAGCACTGGGAGCCTGGCACCCAGCACAGAGGATGGCAGAGTCAACAGAAAGGAACAGGCTTGATGCGGACCTCTTATATGAAGGTGAGTTAGGGGGAATAAAGTATGGGGCGTCTGTGGAAAAAAGAGACGGGTACAGGAAGGACCTCAGCCGGAAGCCTTCTCCGGCTCGAGGTGATTCCGCCTGCACCTCGGGAAAAGGTACTTGTGAAACTCTTTACATCAAACCAACCAACACGCTATACACTGAGAGACTAAAGACTCATTCACTTCTTTTAAAAAATAATATAAACTAAACAAACAGGAGTAATGCTAATGCAAGCAGTCCTTTCAGTGCCGGGGGTGAGGTAGGTGTCCAGAAAAAAAGGGGGGACCCTTCAGGGTGCAAGGTCTTTATCAAGTTTGCTTTGGTGACTCGGAACTTAAACCTCTGCCAGGCACGAGTCAGTATCTCTAACTTGGAACCCACTATCCTACAGGACACTGCCTGGCACACCCTGGCACACTGCCCTGCCACCACCCACTGCGTACTGTACTGGACTGAGGTCCCCGTGCAGTGGCCCTCCATTCCCCCCGGAACCAGCCCAGAAGATGCTGAAACTCATCCTACTCCAGACTTGAACGATATCCAGAGTGTTCTGAGAAGGTCCATCTGCTAGCAGGACATTTCTTTAAAGCACACTCTGGAATTTGGGATGTATTGTTTTCACAGTAGTGTCTATTTCTGAGTTAGTTCTATGATCACAAACAGAACTGTTCTGCTGTCATCTGGTTCTTCCTAATAAACTCGATCTACCAGCAGACACCATAAGCCTGTCACCACAGATGCAACTAACACTGGCCACAGGACACATTTTGAAAGAATGATGGAAAGAAAACCTCTCCGAGTTTAGCCAGATACCAAATCCGCTGGTTAAATGAGACAGATCTGGTTCCAGTCCCAGAGTACATCCTACAGCATGCTGGGCAAACGTGGGAAGACAGAAGAAGTATCGGGATTCTTGGGGTCCCATCCTGCACTACATTCATTCTCTGGATTCCCAAGGAACAGATGAAATGATCAGCCTTTGCCTAATGTGAAGATAAGGCTCACCTCAAGGATGTGACTTAGTGTAGAAAGGCTGCAGTGAGAACGTGCTAACCCCAGCGCTCACGGCCAGCAAGTGTTGGCAGTCACAGACTGGGATGGCCTGCTCTGGGAACTACTGGCTTTTAGGATGGTAGACCAGAATTTCCTCTCAAGTACAAATGCAGTCAACAAAATGATTCACAACCCATGGCTGTTGAAAAGAGGCAGCTTCCAGGAATGAGCGGTAGTGGGTGTGGTTCAACTTTACTGAAGGGCTGAGCAGGTCTACTTGGCCAGAGCCTAGAGGGTCCTTACACTTACGTATCAATCCGTCCATCCGAAGGTGAGGCTGGAGAGGAGTCATCAGTTCTCTCCCAGGCAGGTCAACATGGTTACAACGACTAACAGAGGCTCCTGCCGAGCCCACACAGGGCAGTGTTTTCTGCAGTTCCATAGTGAGTAATAGCAAACGCACTCAGAGAACGTCACACAGCCAGAAGTCCTACCTTCACTCTGGCAGGTTAAGACTCAAATGAGACTAGAAAGATGTAAGGAAGGTTTTTCTTCATTCAGCCTGTGGTCCATTTCTCCCTGAAAGACGTGGCTGTACGAAGCCCTGTACCCTGTGGCCTTGCGCTCAGACCAACTTTCTCTCTATTGGGTCGGCCCATGGAAGCCCCTGGAGCACTACCGAAAAAGCAAGCTTGAATTCTAGTGCCTGATTTTTGTTAGTTTTTTAAATTGATTCTCAGAAGCCTCAACAGCTCTTCGTATTTCCTGTTACTCTTTTCTGGGAACAAAAGTGCTTTCTGTCCCGTTCTTCCAGGGAGAGCCCAGAATCATGTCTCTCTTCCAACGCTTTGCAACTAACAGCTTATTCAGTTCTTAGAGACTTACCCTAAAAAAAGTGCCAGGAACTTTTCTTTCAGCCACTTATGTCATTAAGGAACTTTCTACTTACATAAAAGTTTGTTACTTACCTATCCTCTTTCTAGGACTTTAAAATTAAAATAATTACTTTCCAAAAACCATAGAGAACTTAATTTGTGCTACTTAATTTCATTATATATTTTTGAAGTTTAAGAAACAATCAGACCCTCACAGAACAGGTCTGGTCCTCTCTTTGACGGACTTGGGCAGTACTCCCCCCAGGCAGCTCCAGTCCTGACTCCTAGCCTGACTAGGTAACTGACTCCTAGGTAACTGACTCCTAGGTAACTGACTCCTAGGCCTGCTCAGCTGGAGCCAAAGAGCTGGGCTAGGGCTGCACACTTTTGCTACCGTATTTCTATGAACTTGCTTCCTTTTTTGTTTATTTGGGATATTCACCAACATCCGGAAAGTCAAAAAGCTGGGAAAGAAGGGGAGGGTGGTGGCATGTTACTGGCTAGATCCAGAGGTCCTTGGTGAGGCCACGTGTGACTGGAAGCAACACCCACAGCACCAACCAGAAAAGTGCCTTCGTCACAGCTTGCTGCTGGCCCAGTGCACGGAGGCGATGGCGGCACCTTTCTTGAGATGGTCTGAACGCTCTACCCCAGTGTGATGCACCCGCCCGGCAGACGCTTTGCTCCAGTAAGGGGCACCGGCGTAACCCGTGGGAGAGGGAAGGACAAAATGTGCCCCACGGCAATTGTAAAGAACCCTCAGCCAGTCCTCTCACTGAGAAATGAACAATTAGGTAGCCATCACGGCCTCTTTTTTCAGGAAACTCCAAGTCTACTAGGGAGAGAAATCAGAGGCCCTTAGAATATCCCCACCCATCAATCGCCTACCAATAAAGAAAAATGCAAATCAAAGCTCGGGCTCTTTCTGAAGGGTTGTTGTCAGTCATGCCCTGAAAGTTTAAGTGGAAACGGGAAGAAATTCATACAATATTTATGCTTTCTTACCATTAGCGTCCTGGACTCCAGTAAGTGCTCCGACGGCTGCTGCGGTTTCCCCAGACAGGACGATCTGTCCCCCTCCTTGTAAGGTGGCCTCGGCCAGGGTGGCGACAGCATGGGCGGCAGCTTCGCTGTGGGCACAGGACAGGGGAGGGATGTGTAAGCTGAGTAAGGAGGCAGACCAGCCATCCTCTTAACCTTTCCAGGGATCTGGAGATCGACCCTGTGCTTGTGAGCCGAGCAGCACGTACATGGTATCAGTGCTAAGGGACTGAGGCAGGAGTGGCTGCCAAATGAAAATAATCAACAGCTAGAGAGATTCTAGGTCTTATATGTTAGGGAACTAATGGGAGATCTTCTTTAAGCCCAGGAAATGGGTGTTTGAGGACAGAGGCCCTCACCAGCAGCCTCCTTCTTATCAATATCAGTTGAGTGCTTACAAGCCACAGTGGAAGCTCTGAGCCACGTTCACGATGCAAAAGCCATTTTGGCTGTCAATCATGAGGTTTTCTTTTTCTCTTTACGGTAACATGAGACAGACCGTCTGAAGCTGCTTCATTATAGCCAAGGGTGGACGATAACACTAGGAGTCAGCAACCTGAACTTGCTATTTAATTAATATTAAATAACAACAATTTGGCTTATATTCGTGTTTTTCAAATACAAAGTAGTGACTGACTAATGTCCAGAAAAGTCTGACTCTTCTCTTTGCTTCACTGTACATGTAGGCAGTGCTAAACTGAGCACTAAATTTAAAAACCTTCACTATAAGCCCAAGCTCCTCGATTCCATAAGCAAAGTGAAATAATAAACTTCTCTTCACTGCAGACAGACACTCCATAAAATAGGTTGATGGCTATTAGCCACCTGTTCGACAGAACAGAAACAATATTCTATGAGTTCGGCACACTTCTCTCTGTTTTCCCTCCTATTTATTTTTCCTAACCATATAAACAACCACTGTTACTGATTCTGTGATGCCACAAACTGCAATATGTACTATTATTTTTTGTACTTGTAAGAGAAATTTCCTGGCAAATATAATTGTAAGATGCCATCTAATTTCAGAGATGTTAAAATATATTTAAAAGAAAATTATTCTCAGAAAGCATCAGGTGCCAAATTTGCACAGTTACTAAGAGAACATCAGCAGACATGAGCACGGAGTAGAGAAAGGCAGTGTCATCTCGTGTGCAGAGGTGGACACAGCCTGGGGTGGGTAACCTAGTGGGCCAGCCAGCTCAGCTATGTGCTGATGCTGCAGACCTCACCTAACGACAGGCGGCCATCTTGAAATCCTAAACTGTAAAAGCAGAGATGGGCGAGAGGATGTGGATTGGTTTAGCATAAATGTGTCATACTGTGGGCAACGCAACCAATATCAAACTAATAGCTTCACTTTCACCTAAGAAAGTCAGCAGATGAGTACAGCCACGGACCTGGTAGTTCCACTGGGGGAGGATTTCTTGGTCACCGTAAGGATTCTGGGAGACAATAAAAGAAACCCAATAGGCAGAGAAGTCTCACTGAATGGAAAAAGTCTGCCTCTTACTAACTTGGCTTGCTTTTTCATTTTTTATGTCTGTGTGTTTAGAAAATTGTTTTCTGACAGTGAAAGTAATACATGTAGAAAACTTTAAAAATCTCATTATGTATAAAAGATTCTTTAAAGTAGCATTCAGAGATAAGTTCCTTCTAATCTTAAGCACAACTTTAAACAAATAATTAGGATCATATTGTATGTACAGTTTTACAGTTTGATTTTAAAAAAAATTTTAATTGTGATTTGGGTGAAAGTTTACAGAGCAAATTTATTTTCCCTACAGCAGTTCACACACATTCTGTTCCATGACCCTGACTACAATTACCTGCAGTGAACAGCTCTCTTCCCACTTCCTCCCCGTCGTTACCTCTCTCCTGTGTCCTCCTTTCCTATGCGTTCCTGCCCCCTGAGCTATCTCCCTGTGCAAGCACCGCCCTTCTGTTCTCCCATGATTAATTCTTCTAAGGAGTATATCCTCATGGTGTAAATGGTCACCTTATATGCCTGCCTATTGTTTGGCTGGAAGCTGTAGAAATGAGTTCAATTCCAGACCTAAAGGCTACCGAGGGGTGATAGTCTCGGACGTCTCATCATGCTTTATCAGACTAGTAAGCCTGGTCTTTTTTATGATTTTGAGTTTTGTTGCACATTGTTCTCCCCCTCTATCCAGGATCTCCTGCACTGAGCCTTCTCCCAGTGGTTGATGGGCACCATCTAGTTCTTCCGGTCTCATGGTTGTTCACATGGTTCACTAGTCTGTGGGACTAATTGTTCAGACACCAGCTCCTACTCACCCGAATAAGATGTAGAACAGTGTTTTGTGTAGTGCGTTATGGCAGCTGAGCTTGATGTCCCCCCACAGGCCCAACAATTCTGTAGCTTGATTTTTTCATTTAACATTAGATTTCCTTGTGTAAATAATTTTTGACCTTTATTTAAAATAACATTTAACATTATATTTCCTTGTGTAAATAATTTTTGACCTTTATTAAAAATGATAAACACAAAACTTCGATTTGCCCCCCTTTTTCTAGTCATTCAGGTGTGTTAACTGCTTCCATGTGGAAGAGAGAAATAAGACTTCAATTACAAGTTTCCTTTGATCTAGTTCAAGGTCATGATAATATATTTTAAATTGATTTGAATTCCCCAAGGATGTGGGATGTAACTCAGGTTGAGCAAAAAACTGAAAAGAACCACAGAGCTTCTATGCTGTTCACATAAAGCTGAGACCAAGCTTGATGCTGACAGACACTTCTCAGTGATGTGGTACTACAGCCAGTCATTCCACAGGAACCACAAGAAAGGGCCGCTTGATTTGGCATTACTACTAGGGTTATCTGTTACATTTTACATGGTAGATTTTAATTTTAAAGTGCCTCATAAGTATTTATCAGAGGTAGTGTAATGAATGATTACTTAGCGCATAGGCCCTTTTTAATATTTCCCTAAGAAAGGTGTGTCAATAAATAACGCCACCAGTCAATGTTACAGTGCCTCACTATCACTGATTAATATAAAGTGACTTAACATAGGCCTGAGGCTTTAGCCTACTTTCTGGAGGCAATGAGTGGTAGTCTGGAGAAAGAAGCTGGCATACGATAGCTGTCCATAGTGACTGCTCAGTCCCACCTTTATGACAAGGCTGGTGTCCTGTCACTGAGGCACAGACTGGACACTGGTCTGCAGCACGGAATGTCGGGGGCAGTGACGAGGGCAGCTCCCAAGGCCTTCCCCGAGAGAAGGTTAACCGCCTCACCACACTCACCGGACTGGATCTGAAGCGCTCAACATCTGAAGTTATTCTCCTTGATGCCTTTCTAAAATATGGTGTGGTAGAGGAAAAGCTGCGACTGAAGTCAGCCTGACCAAGTACAGAGAGCCAGCAACAACTTAGAATAATCCGGGACACCGGAGACAAGGGCTCCGATGGGATGCCAGGTGGGCGAGGTCAGTTACCCCAGGCCCTCAGGAATGGGGCAGAAGGACAATGACGACTTCCTGAGGTCATTCGAGTAGATCCTAACCACTTACACCAGACCGCATGGGAAACGGCCAAACCACACTGCTGGAAAAGATCACTTTTACTTGAAAGGTGACTGGGATTGGAACGTCCCTGAGCTATCCCTTCACAATTTTTAGACAAAAGTCATTCCCAGCCTAGTCACAAATCAGAGGCTCCCACCAGCTTGGCAGCTGGATGTGCCCAAGCTTTCTCCATAAGGAAGAAAGGCCCTGCCCTCCATTTCCAGACAAGATGTCCAATCCAGGTTCTCCAGCCCACCTGATTGGTCAAATACCAGCCCATAGCAAAGCCATATTCTGTTTCATTAATATCTCTAATTTTAAGTAAAAGAGTATCTTCACTTTAAAAACAGTGATTAAAAAAAAAAAAACAAAACTTTTTTTAAGCAAAGTCTTTTCAGAACAAAACAGCAGCAGACTGTCCATGAGAAGCAGCCCTGACTCCGCCTGCTCCCCCAGCGTGGCAGCACAGGACACAGCAGAGTCCCACTGGGGCAAACCTACTAATACGTGTTGTGTTTCTCTATAGGCAAGGGCTGTATTTTGCAGAAGGACTTAAGAGGGCGTACACATCTAGGACAGCGTAACCACCAAATGGCCTGCAGTTAATCACCGTGTCATACAAACGCATGATTGGTGTCATCGCCTCTCGTCTCTGGATGCTCAGGCTGAACAGCTCTGCGTTTTTGGAGCTGGGCTGCTCTGTTCTTCACTTACTTGCTCCGATTCCCTCCCCACCTCCTTCCTGAAAGTGCTGATTTATTATTTATTTTGAAAATGAAAACGGACAGAGGTTTCAGGTTTTGTAATGGTAATTCCTCCATCCCCTCGCTGGGCTGTTACAAAGCCAGGGCAGACTACAGGCTGTGGAGCCCAGGGCCCTCGTTCTGACTTGCTGGACAAAACTCTTTAACAACATGGCTGAGAAACAGGTCTGTCCTGCCTGTGTCCTAATCGCTCTCCCCTGACAGATGTAGGAGCCCTGTCTCTGTGGTCCTCACCTGCCTCGGTGGTCCCCAGTCTACCTCTCCCTGCTCAGCCTCCGCCTGCTTCTGCTGCTTGCAGTGGGCAGGGCTGCAGATGACTGACTGCTAGGGAGCCAGGCTTGTTCCATCTGTACCTGAGCCTAGGCAGGTGGCACACGGCACAGCTAGGAATCACTTTGTTACCACAGGAACAAGACCAGCTCTCTGTGTTTCATGAAGGTGACTTCTAACAACAAATTCTGCAGAGCAGCTAGGGGGGCAGGGGAAGCCAACACCAAGGGCTTCTGTCTTAGAGCACAGCCTCCCGACCAGAGTGTCAGACACCGGTGACCACTCCTGGAGCAGGAAAGCCCCCGGTGCACCCCTAACAGCTGCTAAACACAATCTCCAGACCCTTCCTGCCGGGCTGTCAGGCTGGGCTTCTTCACCCCCACACGGGGCTGCAACACCCCGTCCCCTGACACTCACTGGGTGTTGGGCTATCTGATTGCAGACAGATTTCAACATCTCCTCAGCCTCCTCTCTGGCACACTGAACCATGTTCTCTTTCCTTTGAGTAAACACTGTGGCCACCTCAGCTGCATCTGAGCTCGCTAACAAGCCCCCTGGGGAAACTATTACCCTCCTTGTCTTTGGAAATAAGCCCTGGCCCTACCAGCAAAGGGAGCCCTAATGCACCTCCTATTTTCCACTATGTTCAGGGATCCCAGGACACTGACACTTCACTGGAATATCCAAGGGGTTGGCTGGAAACCTCAATGCAGTTGAGTTCTACTGGTTCTCTAGCGGTGCTGTAACAGAAATACAAGTGGATGGCTTTACCAAACAGGAATTTATTCTCTAACAGTTTAGGAGGCTAGAAAGACAAATTCAGAGTGCCAGTTGCAGGGCCGGGTGAAGGCCCCTTGACCTTGGGCTTCAGCTCTGCCTCTTAGTCCAGGCCCATTGGAGCTGAGGCTGCTCACAACTCAGGCAGCTGCTCACTGCTGAGGTTGCTGAACCCAAGGTGGGCAAGCAAAATGGCACAGTCCCGAGGTCAGCAGGTGACACGGCAGACCACTGGCTGAAGGCTCGGCCAAAGGCAGATCCAAATGTGCCAAAAGCTAGAGCCCTTCCCCAAAGCGTCTCCTCATGTGCTGGATGGAGCGGACCTCACCCTGAAGGCAACTACTAGCTGCTCACAGCAGATTCCACCATGAAGGTGATCACAATCTCAGCGTGGGAAGTAACTACATCCAGCTGCCCAGCTACTCAAAACCACGGCCCAGCCAAGTTGACACACAACCTGAATTACCACAGCCCGAAACCAGGCCAAAGGGAGAGAGGGCCTCACTCTGGCCCTCCTTTCAGGAAACATATCTGAGTGTTTTCTCTAAGGAAGGAGTGGGTCTGAGCCAGAGTGTAAGCAACTAAGTTAGACTTTCACATTACTGACAAGCAACATGGTCCAATGTCTAGGTCACTCGTGGACTTGCTGGGTGACTCAGGAGAACAGCTCTGTGTGTGTTTCAGTTTCTATTTTTAATCTACCACCAAGTCCTGACCATACCTTCTTCAACATCAGTTACTTTCTCACCATTCTTACTATTTTATCTTCCAAGACATGCCTGGACAGTCCCTTCCTAACGTGTCTTCTATTTACAGTATTTTCCCACTGTAATTGATTCTGAAGAGATTAATCTTAAAATAGACTATAAATGACAGTAGTTGCTCTGGTGGCGTAGTGCCTAAGGCACTTGACTAGTAACCAGAAGGCTGACGGTTCAAACCCACCAGCCACTCCTCAGAAGGAAGGTTGGGCAATCTACTTACGTAGGGATATTGCCTCGGCAACCCAAGGAGGGGTTGCTGTGAGTCGGATCCAACTCGACAGCAGTGAGTTTTTTGTACAATTTGTAAACTGCTAACGATGGGCTAGGTGCTTTGACAAGAGTTTTGTATCTATCACCCTATCTAGTCTCTGTTTTGAGTAAGAGCTCCAGGAGAACGAGAGGAAACTGGGCCTTGTGGGTTAAGTTTCTCAAGATCACATGGTTAGGTAAGAGAGGGAGCTAGGATCCCAACGTGAACCTCTGTGACCTCAGAATCCTCTTTTTGTTCACCATGCTTGATGGCCTCAGGTCAGTCTTTCGGGGACACACCTATCACGGCTTTCTACTAAATATCACATCGAATCTAAACTTTAGCCGATTTTAATATTCTGGGGCAGGTGATTCCCCTTCTGAATTTCTACAGCGTTGGTACTCTGCATTACACAGTTGAACAGTGATTCACACTCTGAATAATAGTGTTGGCAAAGTATATAACTTAGAACCAGTCTCCCTAATAAGAGTGTGATTTCTTGGAGAGCAGAGAGTCTATCTTAAGAGTCCTCTATTTTTAAAACTCCCAGCCCTACTCAGTGAAGTGAGTTCAGTGACTGCCCAAGATGAACAGCTGCTGCGGGTAAGAACAGCCGCAGCTCCCATCTAACCAGACCTGAGGTCTCACGCATTAACTCACCCAGTTCCCATCTGACCAGACCTGAGGTCTCTCCCAGTTCTTACAACACCCTTACACAGCAAGTACTGTCATTATGCTCAGTCACAGAAGAGGAAAGCTTGGGCACTGAGAGCTAAGTAAACTGTCCAAAGTCACACAGCTAGTAAGTGACAGAGCCAAGATACAAACCCAGATATAATCTGGCTCCAAAGCCCACACTCATGTTAACCGTTAGTTAAAATGCCTGGGTCCACTGAAAAATAAAATGGTGACAGAAATGAAGACTAAGAAGAATGGCATGATCTTTCCAACTCTGTTAACAGCCAGTGTTGTTGTTCTGTGCCGTTGAGTCGGACCTGACTCACAGTGACCCCTCCTTGGGTTTCTGAGGTGGTGTCACTACAGAAGTAGACTGCCCAGCCTTCCTTCCGAGGAGCAGCTGCAGAACCAAACTGGGAAGAATACAACATGGTTCTGGAAATGGCCTCTTACACCATTCTGCAGCACCCTCCCTAACCGTGCACGAAGAAAAAATACTTTAATTATTTTCCCAATAACTCAAAACTTATTTCATAGGGAGGTCATAGATAAGCAAGGGAAATAAATTACCTGAAAAACCAGTAAAATCAGTTCTTGGCCTGCTTAAACATGGCGGAATAACCCCATGGCAATTACCTTTGTAGAAGTAAAAGGGCAATCAATCCTACAGCTTTTTGATTTGTTAGATAATCTCTGGTCCCTTTAAAACAGGGGTTCAGAGTTTGTTAAAAAACCAAACCTTGCCACTTTAGGTCAGTTAATGGGCACAGAATAGAAGTGAAGGGATCAACAGGCTTTCAGTGGAGGTCAGAAAGGCTGCATTAGCTGCTGGGGGGTGATGGGATGGGTGAGGGCTGACTAAAAGCCAACCTACACTATCCTATGGGCTGGGAGCATCAAAGGGAGCCCTGGTGGCCTAGTGGTTAAATGCCTGGCTCTAACAGAAAGGTTGGCAGTTCAAACCTGTCACCTCCACAGAGAAAGGTGGCAGTCTGCTTCCATAAGATTACAGCCTTGGAGACCCTACGAGGCAGCTCTGCTCTGTCCTACAGGGGCACTATGAGTTGAAATCGACTCGATGGCAGTGGGTATGTTATAAAAAAACTCCAGTTTCCACTTGTGACAAATTGAGATATAGCATTTCTCTTTAAGGGCCCTCAAGCCACATCTAGGGGCACATATGTGAGCCTCATTCATGCCCCACCCTTGCCGCTACCTGTTGAGCGCCATGGTGACTGTAGCTCCCTGCTGCATCTCCTGGGAAGCTGCTACCGCGGCCTCTGCCAATGATGCCACCGCCTGAGTGGCCTCTGATGCTTGTGTTGTCTGGATGGTCATCTCGCCTCCCTGTAACGTGGCCCAATTTTGTTCCACCTGAGGCAGAAAGAACAAGACAGTAAGAATTCAAAGCCACAAAACAGTTAGGATTTTGAAATAATGTTTCTAGTAAAATGCTATGTGCTTGGCCAGACGCACACACATGCATACAACTTTACATGATCTATAAGGTAGTAAGCTTCTGACTGCTAACCAAAAGGCTAGCAGTTTGAACCTACCAGCCACTACGTGGGAAAAAGATAAGGCAGTCTGCTTCCTTAATGATTTCCTTGGAAACCCTGAGTCAGTTCTACTCTTTCTTAAAGGGTTGCTATGACTATGAATCGACTCGATGGCAGTGGGCTTGGTTTTTGATAATGTACAGAGTGGAGTATTTAGTGTGCTCTTTTATGTAAGAAAGGGAAGTGTGCAGAACCTACGTCTGAATTTCTTTATATTTGTATAAAGAAATTCTATAAGGACACAGATAAGAAACCAGTGAAAGAATGCAGTGTGGGGAGTGTGTGTGGATGGGTGGGGACAGGAAGCAAGACTTTCTCTACTGTGTACATTTCCCCCCACTGTGTACTCTTTGTTTCCTAAATTTATTTACTTATTCTGTTGTTGTTATTGAGAATGCACACAGCAGAACATACACTAGTTCAACCGTTTCTCTGTGTGCAGTTCAGTGACAACTATGACATTCGTCAACTTGTGCAACCATCCTCACTTTCCTTTTCTGGGTTGTCCCTCCCTCGTTAATGTTGATTCGCTGCCCCCTAAGGTAGGAACCTTGGGTTGCCTACTCTTTCAAGTTGCTATTGTCGTTATGATCCTATAGAGATAGTTGTCAAAGAGCTTAATGCTCAATGCAGACCTTTTTTACTACTTATGCCAAACTATCATTAGGTTTCATACATATTTTGATCATTAGATTCTTGTTGGATATATGGTTTCCGAAGATACTTCCCCAGTCGGTAGCTTGTCTTTTCAGTTTTTTGGTGGTCTTTTGATAAAGAAAGGTTTTTAATTTTTATGAGGTCTCACTGATCTATTTTGTCTTTTGCTGATTATACTTTTGTTATTGTATCAGATAATCCATTGTTGAAAGGTACGCTTGACAGTGTTACCTCTCCTTGTTCTTGTAAGAATTTTATGGTTTTAGTTTGCATATTTATATCCTTAATCCAGTGTGAAATTGTTTTTGTGTATGGTGTGATGCATGGATCCTGCTTCATTTTACTGCATGTGGAAATCCAAATTTTCCAGCATCATTTCTTAAAAAGACTTCTTTTGCCACTGAATGTACTTAATACCTTGTCAAAAATCCTTTGACCACTGACCATTATTTCTGAACTCTTGACTCGCTTCCACTGGTCTATGTGTCTGTTATTATACTAGTACCAGGCTGTTTTGATTACTGTATCTGTTTAGTATGTTTTAAAATCAGGAAATGTGAGTCCTCATACTTTGTTCTTCCTTTTTAACATTGTTTTAGCTATCTGGGGCCTCATGCCAGTCCAAATACAGTGGAGGATTGGTTTTTCTATTTCTGTAAAGTAGGCTGTTGGAATTTTGATTGGGACTGTGTTGAATCTAGAGATTGCTTTGAGTAGTATCAACACCTTAAGTCTTCTAATCCATGAACATGGAACATCTTTCCATTTACCTGTCTCTTTAATCTCTCTCAGCAGTGTTTTTATAGTTTTCATCACATCTCCAGTTAGGTTTATCCCTAGGTTTTTTTTTTTTCTCTTAGATGCTATTGTAAATGGAGTTGTTTCTCTAATTTCCTTTTCAGATTTCTCACTGCTGGTATATAGAAACACAACTAATTTTGTTTGCTGACCTTGTCCTTTGTAACTTTGCTACATGCCTCTATTAGCTCTGCAAGTTTTCTTGTGGACCCTTTGGGATTTTTTATATTTAGCATATTATCCATGACTATTGGTAAGTTTACTATTTCTTTTCCTATCTAGATACCTTTTTGTTCTTTTTGTCTTATTGCTCTGGATAAGACTTCTAATACAATACTGAGCAGAGGTGGTCCGAGCGGGCACTCTTGTCTTGTTCCTGATTCAAGGGGAAAGCCCTCAGTCTTTCTCCATGAAGTATAATGTTGGCTGTTGACTTTTCATGTATGCCCTGAATCATACTGAGGAATCTCCCTTCTCTACCAATCTTCTTTAGGGTTTGCATCAAGAAAGGGTGTTGAATTTTATCACATGCTTTTTCTGCATCCATAGAGATGATCATGTGGTTCTTTTCCTTTGTTCTATTGATGTGGTGTATTACACTGACTGATTTTCTAATGCTGAGCCATCCCTGCATTTCTGGGCTAAATCCTACTTGGTCATGATGTATGATTCTTTCAATATGCTGTTGGATTCTGCTGGCTAGCATTTTGTTGAGGACTTTTACATCTATATTCATGAGTGATACTGGCCTGTTTTCTTTTCTTGTGGCCTCATCCCACTGTATATTTTTTAATATTAAATTTTTTATCATCTTTTAAATACATTTTATGGAAGTATAATTTATGTACATACAGTGAAATACGTAAAACTGAAGTAACATGGGTCAATGCATTTTTTAATATTAAAAAATTTTTACGCCAGCTTGCAAGTAGCCATCTAAAAACAATGGTCTTTAGTCATCCAAAGCAAAGAATGAAGAAAATAAAAATGCATGGAAACAATTAGTCCAAGAGACTAGTGGACCATGCAAATCTCAGCCTATATGACCACGAGACTAGAATTACCGGTTACCACTATCAACCACTCGGAAAGGGATCAGCAGTGTAGGAGATCCTGGATAGAGTGGGAGAATAATGTGCAACAAAATTCAGAATCATAAAAAAGACCAGGTTTACTGGTCTGATAAAGCCTGACAATACCTCTGAGACTATGGCCCCTACTCACCCCTTCAGGTCTGGAATTGAACTCACTCCCGTGGCTTCTAGTCAAATAACAGACAGGTATATAGGGTGAACATTTACATCAGGTAGATACACTCCTTGGAGCGATCAATCATGGGAGAACAAGAGGACAGTATTTGTATAGGGAGATAACTCGGGTTAGGGATGCATAGGAAAGGAGGGCACAGGGAAGAGGTAACTACAGGGAAGAAGTGGGAAGAGAGCTGTTACACTGTGGGAAATTGCAGTCAATGTCATGAAACAAAATGTGTATGAATTGCTGTATGGAAAATGAATTTGCTCTGTAAACTTTCCCCCAAATCACAATAAATTTTTTTTTTTTAAAACATTTAAAGCCATCTCAATATACTAGTAATGCTAGTACCACAGACCTTTTGCCTAAAGGCAACTACTATTACCTATTTCTGTGTATCTTGGTAGAGATATTCTATTTATATACAAGCATATTTATAGACACATACACACAGACACCCCTATGTCCTCCTTTCCACTAAGCCATTTTAAAAACGAAAATAAAATATAGCATACGTTACATACCTTCAACACCTTGCTTTTTCCACAAACAATGTATCTCTAAAATGATTTCATTTTGGAGCATACAAAACTGCTTCATTTGTTCATGATTCATAACAATGACTACACAGCATTGTTTTACACAAATACATTGTGGGTTACTTAACCAGCCATCTTACCAGGGGCGTTTAGGTGGCTTCCAGTCTTTTGCCATTACAAACAGGGCCACGATAAATATTCTTATACACTACTTCATATATTGTGAGTCTATACATAAGATAAAGGAGCTCTGGTGGTGTAGGCACCTAAGGCATTTGACTGCTAACCAGAAGGTTGGCGGTTCAAACCTACCAGCCACTCCACAAAAGGAAAACTGGCCAATCTGCTTCTGTAAAGATTTACCACCTCGGAAGCCCAAAAAAGGTAGCTATGAGTCAGAATCGACTTGATGGCAGTGAGTTTTTTAAAATATATATATATATATATTTAAGATAAATTTCTAGAGGTGGAAGTGTAGAGCAGAGGTATTTCATACTTTTATTTCTGATGGACACTGCCAAACTGAGCAAATATATATTTTTTAAACATATCAAAAACCATATTCCTTTTAATGGAGAGGAATTATGAAGACACCAAAAAACAAAAACAAAACCCCAAAGCACACAGATGCATAATCACTGGTGCTAGAGCAGATGAGAGCCCAGCTGTGCTAGCTCCAGTCCTGGTCTCTCCACCTCGGCACTACTGGAGTTGTGTATCAGGTAAGTCTTGTCTTGGGGCTGTCCTGTGCACTGTAGGATGTTTAGCCTCACCCCTGGCCTCTACTCACTAGATGCCAATAGGACCCTCCCCTGGGGCCATGACAATAAAAATGTCTCCAGCCAATGTCAAATGCCCAGGGGAGATGGGGCAACACTGTCCCCAGTTGAGAACTGTTGAGTTTAGCAGGAGCTTTGCATTTAGGGCTGTATCTAGCTACTTCAGTCTGTTTTGGCCAATAAATGCTGGCTAATTGCCCCCTCAAAAAACAAGCAGCAGCAAGGGCAGCCGAAGTCATTCTAACTAGAAGCACGGACAGTGATCAGTACATCGGCAGGTCTCTTCCTCTGGTGCACTCTGGGATCCACGCTGCTGGCTGGGCTCAGGGAGTTCTTGCTGCCCTGCCCCACATGCTGAGGCCCAGGGAGTGGTGATCTCCTGCCTGCAGGTCACTACTGTGTCCTCAAGAAAGTGCCACAAGCTCTAGGAGTGGCAGATACTTAAGATCCTCCTCCTGCTTGGGTAAGTGGTTCTATCACTACACTTAGATTGTGATAGCGCGTCTCAGAATGTTGGCCAAAAACTTCGACAATGAGACAGTCCTTTGCGCTGTCTTACTACTGCCCGAGTTCTCATGGGCTGTGGATTGTGCCAGAAAGCCTGCAGGTCCCAACAGTACAGAGATATCCTATTTCCTTCATCTAGAGCTGAAAAGTCACCCTCTCAGGAACTTACAAAAGTCTTGCTTCCCAAGGTTTTATCACTCTGATCTCGTTACTGCAATGCGCATCACTGTGAAAAATGTCACTTGAGATGGCAAGCGACACTGTCAACGGTTCCACTGGAA